CAGCAGTTTCTTTTTAATTCAGCGTGTGTGCTAAAAGCATTTGGCTGAATATTCGCCTTTATTCTGAATATATCCCACAGAGCACAAATACAAACGGAGCTGTGTGTGATTTGAATTCGATTGATTGTCTATTAAATTAATAGTTTCACGCTTTAATAGTTTAGATTATTGTAATTCAGCGAGGTCTTCAGAGAGAGAGAGAGAGAGAGAGAGTGCGAGCTGGGATTGTTGTTATTCTGCAGCCCTCCTCACAGCTCTCCAGTGGTCTATTATTTCTGATGAGATGACACATTCATTAGAAGAGGAAACAGTAGACAGGGCCAAAGTAAACAGACACGACATTTAATTGGTGCAATAATGAAAATAAATGATAGAGCTTTAGTCTTTTTATCCATCACCTACCTTTTAATTTGACTTCCTTCTTGAACTTACACGTTCCCTTCCATTGATCACTCACAAGGAGAACCATGGAACACAAGTCAGCAGAGTGTCGGAGGATAAATCTTGAATTTGTAGTCGGTCGATGTAAAGTTTTTCACCTCAAACTTAATTATTGTTTTATTTTACTTTTGGTGTTAGTTTTGCGAACTCTCGATCTCTACACCTTTAGTTAAATTGTTAACCTATCATTTTCCATCAACAACCTTCTTTTCAAACACAAAAACAAACAAAAAGGAAGTTATGTAGGGCTAAAAGATGAAAACTACATTTATTGATGCAAGACGTTCAATCAGCGAGAGCCAATCAGAGCTATGTTTGTTGGCCAGAAGGCAGGACATGTAGAGATCCAATCAGAGCACGTGTGTGTCTCCTGTAGTACAATGAGCAGAAGGCCATATAAAGTCAGGAGCAGGAAAACTTTATTTAATTTAAATTACCTTTAAAATGTTTGACCAAAAGATGTGAAGTAAGATTCAGATTTTAATACTACTATGTATTACTAAGTCTGTGTTTATGAATAATATAATACTGTGTTATATTTTGTGAGATAATAAGTAGTGATACATACACAATATTATTATAAATATTAATGCTTAAAAAATGCTCATAGACCATAAAAGGCCAAATTTTATTTTATTTTCAAATCCAAATTATGCTAAAATATACTTAAATAAAAAAAAGACCTAGTATTTTAAATATACTGTATACAGTAGTTCTTAGTGTGAATTCCTTTCTCCCTACTCAACAGTGGGTCTGTTTATATAAATAAATAAGTTGAGTCTGGAAAGTACTAGAAATTCTAGTAAATCTCTGCTAAGTAAAGATTAAAGAATAAAGTAAAATAAACTACAGAGTTAAGGTATCACTGCATGTTCAGATGAGTGTACTAACTTTTCTGGAAATGCAGTTGGCGGTTAAATGCAGACTTTCACAGGTTTTTTTTTTCTTTGGTTTTTTTTAATTTGCAGTTTCTTTGCACTGCCTGTCAGTTTACACATTTACATCTCACCTTTTCCCTTTGTGTTCCTGTGATTGAGCCAGGCCCACCCAGCCCACCAGAATCTGTGACGATGGAGGAGGTGACAGACAGCACAGCCCAGCTGACCTGGAGCGCAGGCAGAGATAACGGCAGCCCCATCACCAACTACATCATACAGACCAGAACTCCTTTCACTGTGGGCTGGCAGAGGGTCAACACAGGTGGGCAGCACTGAGGAAATGTTATTTTTTTATTTCTTACATCATGTTGGATGTTTTACAGATGACTCACGAGGCCCCGCTGGGAGACACTCATGTTTCAGTCTGCTGTTCAACAGTCATTTGGGATGTGCTTTTATCATCATTATATGGAAGGAGTACAGCATGATCTGGTTTCATTAGATTATTTAAATCTTTTATCTTTAGTCGTCATTGAACATGGTAAGAATGTACAATTGAAACGCAATGTTGTTTCTAACCAGCAACGACACAATGTAATTAGTAGATAAAAATGCTAAAACACTTTTCTACGCAAACCCATAAATACTAAAAAACAAGGCACACGTCAGACAAGGACAAAACAGTAACAAACAAAACATTCCTCAATGGAGAGTGGATAAAAATATGGAAATGTGTGTTTGTGTGTGTGTGTGTGTGTGTGTGTGATTGATGGAAAAGCTGGAGATGGTGATTAATGTGGGCCAAATTGGATAATGTACAAATGACCAAGATCAAATTATATATTTTTTTATGTTGCATAGCGAACATGTTTAGTGAATAACGAATGTCTTTGTTTCACTGGGAAATGAAAATATGAATACATTATTTAATATAAAACATAATTAATACATCCAATCCACCGTGATCCTGATAGACTTGTTTAGCTTCGGTGCTTATCTTTGGCGGTTATGGTACATAAGTCCATACCACAACCAACATTATGAAGTCCTACAGTAAAAAAACTTACAGTAGATTTCAAATCTGAAACATCCCTAAACTGCATGAGCTACAAGCCCCAAAATTTGGAGTAGAAATGTAGAAAAAGTTACAGTCCGTCAGTAGTGATGGAAATCACGACATGTTTATTTTTCTTCCTAGTTCCTGAGGTAATCGACGGCAGCACTCTCACTGCCACTGTAGTTGACCTGAATGCCTGGGTGGAGTATGAGTTTCGGGTTTTGGCCAAGAACAGCGTTGGTGTTGGAGAACCCAGTCCGGTGTCCGTCAAAACCAGGACAGAGGACGCAGGTACGATTGATCTTTTCTTCTGTTCCTGTTGTCAGAAAATTAAACTAGGTTAAAAAAATGTAATACAATTTACCAAAGCAAAGACTGCTGTGTATTGTGATGTAGTCCCAGATGCAGCTCCAGGTAATGTGGGTGGAGGAGGTGGAAGCAGGTCTGAGCTGGTCATCACATGGGAGGTAAGTCAACACTATCTCAGAGTCTGACTAAGTCACAAGAGCTGCCGTTATTTTTAAGTTAAACCTTTATTATTTATACTATTAAAGGTATTTAATTTTTAAATATATAGGAGTGGTGAGACCCTGTAGGTGGCACTAGGCTGCACTAGGTTCTGCCAGCATCTGTAGGAATATCTTAGTTTAGCCAAGCCTCCGAAACAACTCACAAGTTAAAAATATATATATATTTTTAATTATTTAAAATGTATATGATATAAAAAAAAATGTAGGATTCCACATAGAAGTTACTCACTGCTTAGTAACACCCCGTGCCTGCTGTAATTACATTAGGTTATATATATATATTTATATATACTGCAAAAAAGCTGCACAAACGTACTTATTACCTGTTGTAGTTGAGATATCTGTCATCATTTCTTTGAACAGTCTTGTACCAGTTGGCTTTTACTCAGTGTGGCAGAATATGTTCATAGTGTCTTTCAAACTTCTCTCATATTTGTGATGTCATTTTGAGCTGCAGGTTTAACATAATGTCTGGCGAGAACTTTAGCTCTACATACAAACTAAAAGACTCAGATCTGCTTTGAGTGACTGCTGTGAAATAACCTGCGGAGCTGAGAAATAACACCAGCGTTGTAGAAGTCATTAGATGGCCATAGCTATCTCCTTACTTGTATCACTCTCATCTCATTAAACGCCAAAATAAGTTTTCATTTTAAAAGCCGCACAGACGGCCCATAATGAGTTTTCTTAAATGGCATTTTACTGCTCATTTCATTTCGTCAGGTGGGTTACAAAAGCAATTTGTGGGTCACGAGAGCGGGCGGTGATTGTGACAGCCCGGCAGTGGAGGGGTGAACGTGAGTGGTTTGTATATGTTTTAATATCACTATAGTTTTGTGTTTCACTCTCAGCCTGTCCCTGAAGAACTGCAAAATGGTGAGAGCTTTGGTTACATCATTGCTTTCCGTGCCTTCGGAGAAGTAAGCTGGACTCACGTTGCCACATCTGCCCCCGGAGCGGCGCGTTATGTGTACCGCAACGACAGCATCACGCCGTTCTCTCCGTTTCACGTTAAGGTCGGCACTTACAACAGCAAAGGACAGGGCCCCTTTAGTTCTGTGGTGACCATCTACTCTGCAGAGATAGGTAAGTGCTTTACGAAAGAGGTTGTGTTTTTTTTTTATTCACCGCTGCAAAGATCTGTGAGAACAAAGATCACACTGATATGAAAGCACCTGCATAAAAGAGACACACGGAAAAAGAACACATGTAAAAGTCGTTTGGTAAAAAAGCTGTTTTAAAGCACACTTACGGTGCTGTATACGAGCGCAGACCCAGGGTTTACAAATATCAACACACTTGTGGCTGGCTGAGCAGGACTGAGAGTGAGTTGGTATTTAGATCAGTGGTTCCTCTGAGTGTGTGGTGGTGGGCTGTCACTGGGTTGTTTACCAGCAGCAGTTGTGTGTTATGACTGCCCAAAGCATGATGTTTGGCAAACATTGCAACATGTTATGTTGCTGTTAATGCTGCAATTAAAACGTGACTGGCCACAGCGTTTATTGAGACGACTTTTAATGGTGACAAGTACATTTAGTTTATTCCCCCGGTTATTTTTACACCCATGTCCAAAAGCAGCCTGTGGCCAAAACATTGCAGACAAACACATCTGTTGAGTTTGGTGACCTCCAAAAACTTTGGCAACGTGAACACATAGTGATAAACATTAGCCGGTCGACCGGCACATCCCAGCTGACTAACACCTTGTGTAATCCAAGAGCTATATTTGCACAGATGTGTGATTCTGGAAATTCACACACTCCAAGTCTCTAGACTACAAACACTTGGTTGCTTTTTTGCACCGGTTTTTGGAGCCGCTGCTAATAGAGTCGATACACTTCCTGCAGAAGAATACAACCGATATTTTTTAAAGTTTGGGTTGAACATTTGAATCTTAATGAACAATGAATGTAAGTGTTGATATATTTTTGAGTTTAGAAATTGACAGGCTAAAAATATGGTACTGTATGAACGTGAGAGGCTATGATATTCAATTTTAATGTAAAAGGACCAAAGGCTCGGACTCTGGACGTTAGAATAGATGAGAACGCATCCCTGATGGACAATGTCAATGATGTTTCCAGAAGATTGAACTTGTGGTGTAGTAGTCATGTGTTTTTTGTATCATAACAATACCAGGACTCATCCTGCAGCTTGTGTGGTTTACTTCCCATTTTTAAGAGCCATATATTTATTTAGATTTATTCCATAGACCTAAAGCTGCACTGTGTGTAAGCCACTTTCCATTGTTAAGTCCAATAGATGGTATAAAATGTGAAAAAGCTGCACCAAATAAAAGCCACTTTCCCCATTGCTGTGTTTTTTTGTATAATATATATATATATATATATGTATATATTTACAGCAGCAGAGAGGTAGGAAGTTGTGAATATATGCTGCTTCATGCTGCCTTTATTATGGTAAAACACAGAAGTCTACTTGTTTGTAGGATTAGAACTGTAATTAGAAGAGAGAGTGACTCAGGGACTTTTTGACAAAACACTGATTTTCTTTGCTTCTCAGCCTCAGATGCTTTATATAAATACACCACGCTAAAGTGTTAACCTGTTTTCCTGGAGACGGACTTCCTGAACCTAAAAAAAATCAATGTGCAAATTGATGTCCTTGAAAAACATGTTTCAAAAACAACACTTTGGTATTTGAGTAAAGTATATATTTTCAGGTGATGAAGATTTATGCTGTGGTTTAATGATCGCCCTTCAGTGAAGTGACAAAAGTCGGTGCAGAGCTCTGCAGTCGTGGCTTTTCTTCTAAGTCTCCAGTGGTGCAATGCAGTGAACACACTGTCAAACTTCTTCTGTACACTTCTGTAGTGTGTGCATGTGTGTGTGTGTGTGTGTCTAGACCGCAGGTGAACCTGCTGTTCAACGAAACCAAATCTGGTACTACACACTTGAGTAGCCCTGTTCTCACTCCTGCAAATGCTCCGTGTTTCCACCCATGTGTACGGCTCTCAGTGGCAACAGAAACTTGTCGTTTTCTGTTTGGTGATTGCAACATGTGTGCTGCAAGATTTACACAGAAATGTAGGGTTCTGTCTGAGGCTGGTCCTTCATCTTGTGGGAAAAATTTCTCCAAATAAAAGATTATGAGCCACAAATTCTTCTCCCGTTCACCACACTTCACCTCCACGCAGCTCCTCTCCCTCAGCTGCTTGTGTGTCTGTTGAGATCAAAAGGGAGACGGCTGATATCGGAAGGTGAAAAAACGAGATTAGATTTACACAATCTACTGCTGTACGTTTAAAAAAAAAAAAAAAAACAGACACCTTCACAACACAATAATAAAAAGCATGATCAGCTGTTCTTTCCGTGTCTCTGTTATGAACAGTCGGCTGTGCTCACGTTCTTCCTGTCTTGTTTTCAGAACCAAGTGGGATGCCATCAGGCGTCTGGGCCAGGAGTGTCTCATCCTCTGAGATTGAAGTGAATTGGCAGGTGCTTTCCTACAGCCCTGAAAGGATTCTGGGCTACGAGGTAAAGAAAAAAAAAAAATTAAATCTAAATGCAAACAGAAATCTCACACACAGCTCTGTTCCAGCTCTTGTCATCTTCCCTGTCGTACATACTGTAGAAGACGCTCGATTCCAAATTTTCAGACCACAAAGGAAATAATGTTTTTCATCTGACTGTTTGAGCCAAGAAGGAATGTGGTCTGAACTGTTTTCCATTGCTCTCTGTGCAGCAGTTGTGTGTGGGATTTATGATATACAATAATGTAGCTACTACTACGTTGCCGCAGAAATTGCCTGAACAACCATTTGCCATTATGACTTACTGCAAATGTTGAAGATTAGTCGCTTTGACGGGCGTTGCTAAAGAGCATTTAGCGATAAATCCTGAGTATTTCGGAATGGGGACAAGTTGTTAATGAAAACATCTACGGAGGTTGGACACTGGTGAGAAGACCAATAGGACAAGAGCTGGACACAGATCTATAAAAAACTGGCCAATCCAAGTTGTAAATGTTTTGGCTTGCTGTCAGGTTTTGGAGAAGGCCAGAAGAAAAATAAAACAATGACTGATTTGGACATAGAATACAGGAGGGTCTGTCAATGTTTGGGGCTGAATTCTTGGAAGTGTCTTTGTGACCTGGTCAAAATTGATGTAGCCATAGTTGCAAAAGATTATCATTTGACACAAATACACCATTACCATCTAACAGCCACTGGAGGAATTCTTCTTTTCTCGTCTAAATGAAACCAAAACAACTGCAAACCCTAATTTCAAGATATGAAGGAACATTTTTATTCCTAATTCCTGATACATAATTTAAACATGCAATTCCATTGGTAAAGGTTTGCACGAGAAGACCCTCCCAAAGTGGGGGTTGGGGCCCTTTTAAGCAGCCACCAAGACTAACGAATTTCAATGTCAGTATTTTTTAATTGAGCCACATTGGGGAAGTACTGATTTATAATTGTCATTTCTTTCTTCAAACAGAATGGCAGTTTTTTTATAAAGTTTTGATATAATGTTCAGAGTTTTGAACCAACTGCTGTGATTGTGTCGTTTGGGAATGACCAAACGTGTCCTATCAGTTGGAGTGATTATAGTCCTTGTGGGAACAGCCTGAGGAACAAACATTGTCCTTAGCTCTGGTTCCTGCAGGTCAGACAGCTGTCACTATAGTTCACTGCAGTTGCACCATAACATTCTGCATTAATCTGCATTAACACCATTAGTCTCACTAAATCTCACCTACTTAGCCTTTAATGACTCATCGATTCATTGATTATCCAGAGATCTATTGGTAACTCAACAGGAACCTTTGCTGTTTCTGCAGCACTCCGCAGCATCCTCCTGTGTCAGAAAACAATAAACAAATGTGTCTTTAAAATTTCCCGTCACGTGGAATAAATGCATTGACATAATCTCTTCAAACAACAACAAAAACAACACACGTCCTTCCCAGTTCCATATAATGCAGGTGACACACTAACACATGCTGCCAGTGAACACATTTTCCTCCTCTCCACCGCCGTGTATCACATTTGCATGCTCTTTGTCGCCAACAGGTTGTTTACTGGGAAGATGACACTAAACCAGAGACCATGGGGAAGGTTCGTGTGCCTTGGAACCAAACCTCGGTCACAGTGAGCAGCTTGGCAGCAAATACGCAGTATTTCCTAACAGTCAGCGCCTTCAACACAGCAGGCACGGGGCCCTTCCTCCCTGCAATCAATGTCACCACAAAGAAGCCGCGTAAGTTGCGGCAACAGCAACATCTGCGCTGTTTGAATTTGCATTCACCGATTAGAACTCCATGTAGGAACAAGAAATAATTTGTACCAAGTCTTTTCCCTGGTGTTTTGAATGAAAAGCAAGGCATTCCAAGCATCCCTAACAGAAATATGGCACATTATGTTTGCACGCTAACAAATAGATGTGTTGTTTTCTTTTGACGATGCAGCTCCAGCTCAACCTCCACAAAACGTTGAATGGACTCTGATTGGAGCTGAACTGTCGATTCACTGGGAGCCAGTGCAGGCCACGGAGTCTGAGGCTGAAGTTACAGGCTATCAAGTCAGGTTTTGTTTTTGCACATTCACATATTTGCATTGGTCACATTTACAATGTGTCAACAGCTGTGTTTGCCTCCTCCTCGTTTAGCTGTCATACAGGAGGCAGAGACACAAAGAGGTGAACACACTCATGACAGCCAACTCCACTGCAGAGCTCAGTCTGCCTTCTGAGGAGGACGAAGACTACGTCATCTACATCCGAACACTCAGCGAAGGTGGGCTGGGCCCAGCCTCGGAGCCCGTACGAATTCACCAACAAAGTAAGACGCAGGGTTTCTGGATTCTAGAAAAAAAAATGCAATCTATATAATCATCATTATTTTGGACTGAATTGAAACAAACGATTATTTAACACAATTACTAATTTCCTCCTGCTGCTCCTCTCTGTCTGCTGTCTCCTCCTGCTGCTCCTCTCTTCCTCCTGCTGCTCCTCTCTGCCTGCTGCTCCTCTCTGTCTGCTGTCTCCTCCTGCTGCTCCTCTCTGTCTGCTGTCTCCTCCTGCTGCTCCTCTTCTCTCTGCGCCGACTGTTTCAAACATAATCAATGGAATCTTTTGGTTTATTAAGAATATTTTTAACAATGTCCTATTGTTAATTACATGGTGTCAAATTTTGAATCAACCTTCACTGAATTGCACAGTGAGCCTCAGTAAGACAGTCGTCAGAAAGAGCTTAAGTGAAAACTTTGTTTTCAGGTGCTTCACTTCTCTGTCTCTAACTCTTTCTCCTGGATGGACTGAAATAAAAACTCTTATTGCAGGTTTTTCAGTCTTTAGCCTTTAGCTGTAAAATATGCTGATGCCACAATGTTTCAAACATAAAAAAAAACTGAGAAGGATGACAAATCCCTACATTTGAACAGCAGCTCCTCTGTCTCTGTATTATCTCTTATAATAGAAGCCACTTAACACTTTTTAAACCTGACAAGGACATTTTGTCCTCTGCCCGGTCACCATGACACCCCTGTTGAGCTCCAGTGTCCTTATAGTTGGCTGAAATATGCAGCTCGATCCATCTCTGTCGCTGAGGTTGACTTCCCTTTTTACTGTCCTGTGGGACACCTGTGTGCGGGGGGTGCTCTTCTCCTGCTCCAAATGCTAATTTTCATTGTTAACATTCCATGTTGAACCCCAGAAAACAGTGGAGAGAGAGAATTCCACACTGACTCTTCTTTCTTAGATTTCCTTTTGAAAAAAAAAAGGCTCCTCTCCGGCCCCCCAGAGATTTCTTTTTGGACACAGCAAAGAAAAATACACGGGCAAAACACATTAGCAGGCAACGGAGTGTGCTGTGTTAACAGAAAGTGTTTGCTCAGGCACATTGGATGAGGTCCAGGAGATTTTCTTTGCGTCAGTGACTCATACGTTTTAGTTTGGAAAATTTTCTGAATTATTCTGTTTATTTATTTTTGTTTTAGTCTCTTTACATTTAGCCACCTCTGTGTTTCTCAGTGTTTTTTTTTTAGTTCAGGCCCATATTTTACATTAGAAAAATCCCACAGTAATAGATAAAAATGTCCCAAAAAGTATATGTAATGTTGATCTTCTACATTGATCTTCTACATTCTAACATTGATTTTCTAGTTTCAGTTTTCTCACAATGTACTTAATCAGTGTGAAACCTGGTCCTGTTTAGTTGAACAATGCCGATTCACTCGCAGGAATTGAAGAAAGACACACAAAAAGATCTACCTCAGCAGCTCTCTCTGTTTTTGTAGATCTTGTAGCCATCCACTGCCAAAGTATTTGCAGTAAATATTCTTAGTAATGTCCAGGTCAGTTGGATCATTTTCTTTGGCACACCTGTTCGTCTCTCATGGCACACTAATGTGCCGCGACACACGGGCTGGGAGTCACTGAGCTACGTTACATGTTTCTGTATCTTTTTGTGTTTCAGGTATGAGTGCCCGTGGCTCCAGGGCCCAGAGCTTGGACATTCCACACCTCTCTCTGATCCTGGCCCTGACAATATCAACCTTCAGGTCAACATCATGACACAGTCACAGACATTTCTTCTCTATTCTCTTTTTTTTTTTTTTTTTTCAATTCTGCCTTGGTTTTTCTCCTGTTGTTCTGGTTCCTTTCTGTTTCTGTGTGATCACACTTTGTGCAGTATTTCAAAGCAGCACAAAAGTGAAGTGTGCTGTCTGGTACTTAAATAGCAGGAAAAGCTTGTTTTTTTTTCTTTTTGGCTTTTCTATTTTTAAATGTTCCCAGTCGGAAACACTGCTCCATCTCAACCCTTTTCTTTTGGACTCTCGAATGATACAGATGCCTTACTTCCATTCATGTGCCAAAGTAGTTTCAGCCTTCTCGTTGTTGCTCTTGTTGTTGTTGTTGTTGTTACTAAAATAGCCACACGCTTTCCTTAATGTTCCTCTCTGGTTTCTGATCATTGAAGATCTCAGCATCCTTCGATCTGCGGTTCATTTTCATTCACCTGTGCCCGTGCCTTTGAAGACCCTCCATACTGGCATCACCTGCAGCCATGAGTCTATTTTTCTGACCCCGCTGCAGCCACGCTCATCTGCTTCTGCACTATTAAAAGTTGGCTGTGTCCCTAATGAGAATTACACCACAGTCTGTATTTCCCCACTCCAGTCATTTACTCTTTAAATCAACCAACCTGAATGTGCTGCGCTGCACCAAACCTTTCCAGTTCCAACAGCCCAATTGTTTTAATATGACTCTCATTAAAGTGGACTTGATTCTCCATTTCCCTTTAAACAACGGCGGAGGAATTCCCTGCAACAGTTTTGCTGAAACCACCAGCATATTTCATCGAACTTGCTGAAAAAAATAATCTGAAAAAGATAAAATAGTCATGTCTGGAACAGATGGTTCATTATTTAAAAACTGGAACCTGTGGTTTGTTTATTTAGTATTTGTCTATTAGAGTAGAGGAAACAATGCATTTACTACTGTTTTTAAATAACATGTTAAGAAAGCTATACTTTCAACATAGTGATTAACACAACTGGGTCATCAAATTACACACTTTTTAAAAAATAGAAATGTGATGAATACTAAAATAAACATTTTAATTGTTACAGTAAACAAGTTGTGAGGAAACTAAAATTCACATTCAGGTTTTTTTTTAATACAATGTTATAAAAATGTATATTTTAGTTGTTACTTAGTTTTATAAAAATAAAATTAAGATTTAGATTTAGATCGTAAAAGAAAATGTGATTAAAACCTAAAATCTGTAATTTCAATAAACTCAACTAATTTTATGTTGCAAACAAATTTCTGAACATGTTTATGTAAAAACAGTACTTGTATCCTTATCACATTGATAACTACAAATTGTAGTTTCTGTATTTTTAGACTGAAGGGAATCTGGGGTTTACACAGACTGTTTAATTCCTTTGTTGAACAACATGTTTCATAGCATAGCCTCTTTTCTAGGAAAGGCATTTTTGTTTTTACTTTTCCCAATTCTGAGCCAGTGAATGAGCACAATATCCAACATTGTGGAACTATTCCTTTAAGGCTCTCAGAACATGACAAACAGTAAAGTGCAACAGTAATTGTGATAGTTGTGTTATTTTGTTTAAAATGAGTTCCCCTCAGTTGTCAGCTGTCCTCCCAAGGCTAAAGTCTCAGTTCCTTCAAAATAGAACATGAACCTTAAGTCCTAGTACTTCTTACATTGTCGAGTGGGACACAGTACGATTACCATCTACCGAATTTAATCTCGGTGCTCTCGTTTTAAAACCACAGGACATTTTAAAAAACTTTTAAAGAAATCAAACTTTTCTGATTCATCTGTAATAAAATAGAATCATTATTTGCGGCCTTAGCCTGGACCCCTCTGGGGACGATCGTCATCCGCCGTTACAGTGGAGCTGCGGTTCGAGTGCTGCTGACTGTGTCAGTCTGATCAATGAAACCCAGCCACCAGCTCAGACTTTATTTGTACGTTGAGCTGTGAGTATGGCTTTTCGTTTTTCTTTTTTTCTAAATGTGTGAATCTGTTCTGTCGTCGTCGTTCATTCTGGATTTTTCCCAAGCGTGGCTCGTGTTGTCATTGTTTTATTTATGTGCGTTTTTGTTCAACGTGACCTCAGGTACCCAGGCCTGCACCGTTGAATCTCAGAGCACTGTAAAGCAGCAGGAGCGGATAGATCTGACACCAGAGTCCGTTCAGCGCTGTGACTTGATGAATGGGCAACCGGAATGTGCCGTGATTTAGCCGACATTAAAGCAGTTTAATAAATTACCGCGGGCCTCAGGCCCAGTACGGGAAAGGGCATCCCAGTAAATGATACTAATCACACTTACACAAGACCCATACATCAGGATTCAAGGAGGACTAAATCTGTATGGATGTGTGTGTGTGTGTGTGTTACTTCACACCTAGAGAGACACAGACTATTGTTTCCAGTAAAACCACTGGGCTGATAACAGAAGTCAAAGCCCTGACAGAGATTAAAAACAATTAATCTGTATTAAATTTAAAAAAAAGAGTGTTAATACTTTGAGCAGCCTTTAAATCCTGATGTTTTTTGTGATTTAATGTTTGGTATAATGTGTACTCATCCTTCAGTCGCACAGTGTCATGATCAATATTCCAGATCTTTACACAGGAAATGCATCTCTATGGCAGATTCATTAATTACACAGATTTAAAAAAAAGAAAAAGAAAAACATGCCTTCGCCGTTTCTGACCGTAGGTCGTACTCACATGGACACATCGCCATCCTCTTTGTTCTGTATCGTATCAGTACTGTGAGATGTTTAGATTCTACTTTTTTGGGTTTCTTTTTTTAATGTTTGCTATGGTTCCTGGTTGTTTTTTATATATGGATTGTTTTTTTTCTTCCAAAAAATTCTGCACAAAGGTCAAACGTTGCTTTAAAAAACCAATGAAGAAAAGGGTTGAAAAGCCAGTACAGTGTGGAATCTCTCTCCTTCACAGTTTACTGTACATACGTTGTGAATGTTGTTTGATTTGAAGAAACACTCGCAACCACCGGAGACCAAATTGTGTTGTCCCACATTCAGATTGCAACTGTCAGTCAAAGACCTGCAGTGGAGAAAAAAAAAGTTGTTAAAAAAAAAAAAAGAAAAGAAAACTTCACCAAGGAGCTGCTAACGTGCACAGGCTGTTGGTGCGGTGCCACAAACACTACCTGTTACAAGGTAGTCAGAGCAGTTGTTTTGGTTTGATTTTGTTGTTTTACATATTTTGAATCTCTACTGCTCCTTCCAGTTAAAATTCATGATTCTTAAATTTAAAAATCTTTTTTTTTTCTTCAATTCAATTTGATGAATAAGAAGCTCCATCTGCAGCTGTGGGCGACAACACCTGGCCTTTTTTGTTGTGACTCCTCGGTATTTTGATATTCCTGGTTGATCTCTGTGAGATCGGGGCTTCAGAGGTTTTCACATTGAAAAGACATGGGCTGATCTTGATATGCTGAAGCTGTGCATGTGTGATATTGTTTGGTGCATTTGTGTTTTCTAAAGGAGGGACTTAATAAAAACAATTCACTGAGAATTTCTGTCACATTGTTGTTGTTTGTTTTGTTTTTTTTAAGAACATTTCTTTTTCAGCCACAAGATGTGGTAGGTATTAGGTGACCGTCATTTTACGTGTAACTCAAGAACTCAGTGGCTAAAGGTTTAGCTTCACGGGCTAATTGTTTCATTATGTACTAAGGTGTTATCACAGCCCGTGTTGAATACTGACTAGTTCATTCATCATGAATAAAAAATACATGTTTAGGCAGCGGTGTTTCAGCTGCAGCTTTCATAACAAGTTCTCCCTCTTTTTTAATGTTTTTCTTCATATTATCAAAGCACGGATCTGTTGAACTTAAGATACACTCCACTAAAACAACAAAATGACACGGAGAGCTACTGTGAAATATTGATCCCGCCAGTGTTGCACAGATGCTTTTAAGATAATAAGGAGAAGATCCTGTGAAGGGATCGATACAAAAGGGGAAGTGAAGAAAAGAGAGGTTTCTCTCTACACACCACAGATCATCTGTAATGAGTCCACTCTGTCAATACTAAGGCAATGGCTCTTCACATGTTATTGACCACTGGATCACATCATCAGACTGCTCTAACTTCCTTTGACAGCCGGCTCATCAAGGAAAAAGCACTTTTTATGATGTATGGCCACAGCATCACCTTTGTAGAAAAGTAAGAAGAGGTTATGGGCTTCAGAAAGCTGTTAACACAGCCACTGCTAACACGTTATTGACACGCACGGTGTATCTAGAGCGGAGGTAACTCTTCTAACATCATGCACCGTCAGCGCTGGGGCGCTATGCCACAAGTGTAGCTCAACACTGCCCTCTTCTGGCACCCGTGTCACTGTGCAGCTCACAACACGTTTTCGCAACAATGGTACTACTATTTTCTAAAAGAAGACGTTTCAACTCTCATCCAAGAGGCTTCTTCAGTTCTGGACTAAAGAACTGAAGAAGACTCAAACTTGACCATAACCTGGATGACTGAGAATCTTCATAGACAATGGTACTACTACTACCACGACCACCATTACTGCCACTACTACGACCACTACTGTATTACAACCTGGACAACTATTACTACTACAAATATTACTACAACTATAGTTACTACTAACTGCTACTATTACTGATACTATTATTATTATTATTACTATAAAAGGCTACTAAAACCTATTAACAAATTCAGCAGTGATCAAAACTCAAACTAAATGCTGAACCTCATGAATGCTGGAGAGAGAGGTTTCCATTGAAAGTGAACATAAGAGCAGTGAAGGTTGATCAGCTGAGAGATAAAGGCAAAGACAAATTTGAGAAGAGTTATACATGTGCTGAGAAAGAGACAGTGGATACATTTAAACAAATATGTTAAAGATATCAGGTCAAATGAGAAGAAAAAACAGAGGTTCAATGACTATATATATATATATATATATATATATATATATATTACACTGCAGTTGCGTTCTTACTCCCGATCCCTAGGTGGCACTGTGTCCTCTACTGCGCCCTTCTTATTAGCTCGGTAGAAAAATGAAAAGCGGAAGACACAGCCGTGAGAGACGGCGCTACTTCCTGCTGCTCACATGTACACAGCAACAGCAGAGAAGATGACGGACACTTTTAATAAGAAAGACTCCACAAACAGCGGTCTTAAGAACAAAAGTTCAAACGCAAACGACGAGGAGAAAGACGAGCTCTGTCCTGGTTTTAAAGACGTTGACGCATTTGTCAAGGTGGCTGAATTTTTCAGTAAAATTTTCTGCTCAGGCTCAGTTTGGTCAGGAAACGTGTCTCAGCTGTAGTGGTCCAGTTAGTAAGGCATCGGTGTAAACACGAAATGAAAGCCATTTTCATCGTAGGAACAACCATAGACTAAAGAACAGCAGGACAACCATGAGCTTGTGTCTTTATTTTACCTGACAGGTTTGGTTATACTTACTGTGCCTGTCTCTCTTCTCTTCAGTATGGACTGGGGGCTGTATTATCAGCCACCAAAGCCTCAGCCGGCCTGCCTCAAGCTGGAGATGAGTTCGATTTCTACCGCAGCTTCCCAGGCTTCCAGGATTTCTGTGAAGGCCAAGGAGATAAACTCCTGCATTGGTGAGTAGCACATGGAGAAGTTGATGCGTGGTTTGAGCTGCATTTCAGTCGGAATTTTCATCTGAGTGTCAGCAGATGAATAAGCGTCCCTTTACACGAAGGAAACCTGCTCTAACGTCATTACTGTGTTTTTAAATTTCCATAAAAATATGACAGTGCTCTGATCAACAAAATCTGGGTTTTCCCAATTATCATTCCCTATAATGACACAATTAGGAAAGAGTATTCTTGATACATTTCTCATCCATTCACCTTTTTATCTATTTATCCTCACCTTACCTCACAAGAAGCTGTAGCCAATCACAGCATTAGTTATGACAAAATGTGGCGTAACATTTTCTTATATATAAAATTCATACATGACAGTAGGTTTATTTAAAAAAAAACTAGAAGGCTTAATCAGCTACACTGGGAAATAATGTTATAAACACTAATACAGGCAGGAAGAATTAGAGCTGTCAAAATTAAGACAATAGCAACAAATGCCAAAATGTTTAGCTTTCCATAAAGTTTTCCGTCTAGTAAACACTAAACACTTAGCCAGGAATATATATCTTAGTCCTATGTGTAGAGGCTTTTAACATGACTAACTTTAAAAATTTAAAGGTGATGTAAATAATAAATCTTTATGTTAATTTCTAGGAGAGATCCGTGTGTGTTTTCACTGGATGTGTAAAAATCGTTCACACAAAACAAAATTACACTGTGACAAAGTTTTGTTTCAGCTCCATGTCCTTGTTTTTAATGAATCATGTTTTGCTCTGGACATACAGTGTGGGAGTTTTGTTGGCCTGATGGAAGAGTCTTTTGTTAGAACAAAAATGAATACATTTTTTTTGGCTTGACTTAATTTTAGCATGAGTCAGATCATGAAGCATCATGGCTGCAGATCTCACACAAGGGACCAGAACAAGTTGACAGGGCTGGAGGAGAGATACGACCTGGTGGTGGACTCCAATGATGTCATCCTTGAAAGAGCAGTATGGCTTTCTGATTTGTGCTGCTTTACAAGGTTTTGCTCAGATTAGGTCTATAAAAAAACAAACAAGCTCTTGTGTCCTTTCTCCAGGGAATTCTTCTTGATGAAGCCGATGGTGTAAACAGGAGCCAGCAGCCTGTCATGCCAGCAGGCTTTCAGCCTCCAAAGATAGTCGTTTCCAGCTGGAATCGCAAGGTTGGCAGAATAACCTCCTGCTGCTCATGCTCCACAGATCCCAGTCTTTTTATTGGACTGCACTCAAGCTGTAACATTACGTGCCAGATCAAGTTGTTCTTATTGTTTTTATGAGCTCTTGATGAATATCCATAGTGTTGCTTGAGCTTTTTTTTAAGTAAACAATTATTTTATTGGTCAGGGTTCAGGCTCTGGCAGCCGTTCAGAGACCTTCAGGCTCATGCACGCCAAGAACATCACCAGACCTCAGCTGAAATTCAAGGAGAAGATTGACAACAGCAACACGCCATTTGTCCCCAAGATCTTTACCAAACCCCATGCAATGAAGCCACTCCCATCTTGTAAGGCTCACATCATTCAAGGTTTCGATTGTCCTATCGTCCATCAGTATTATCTCCATCTTTAAATTCCTCGTTTTCTCTGTTAGATTTTACCAGCCAACAAAATCGTAAAGATGATCAGAGTGTCCCATCTGCTCTGGCTGACCTCATTCATCAGCAGCGGACTCAGCAACATGTTGAGGACATGTAAGAGTTGTCTTTTAAACTCATGGTGTTTTTTTTTATTTTATTTCATTTTCATTAAATTAAATATTTGATCTATTCCAATCTAGGTTTGCACACCCGTACCAATATGAACTGGATCACCTCATGATACCAGAAAGCCTTTTGTCCAAACCAGAACCTCAGGTCTTTTATAAAGAACTACAAATTGATTCGTTTTACTTTTTCTTTCTCATTTTTTAATCTGATCTGTTTCCTGGGATTATTAATCAGATGTACAAACCTTTGGCTGAGACCACATGCTCCTTCATCGACACCCTGGAGGATCTGGTGGCTCTAAATGAGAAACTGTGTACCTCGTCTGAATTTGCAGTTGATCTTGAGGTAAAAATATATATATATATATAAACAAAGTCAATGACTTCTCTTTTGAGACTTGAATGTGTGGACCAAATTTACATTTTCATTGCAGCATCACTCCTACAGGAGTTTCCTTGGCCTCACCTGTCTGATGCAGATCTCCACCAGGGAGGAGGATTTCATCATCGACACTTTGGAGCTCCGCAGTGAGCTGTACATCCTGAACGAAGCTTTCACCGATCCCTCCATTGTCAAGGTAATGGCTGCTACAAATTAAACCTTGTGTAATAGATGGGGTTGAAGATTAGGTTTTTAATTAACATGGACCCTGCACACTGAAATTCGTGGACAACTTTAACACCCAATTAGTTATAGCACACAAACGTGTCACAGACGGAACATTTCTCTGTTTTAATCTGTTGCACTGGCAATTTCTGTCACCTGATCAGGATCAGTACGTATCTGAAGGGGTTATGTCACCTTCGTCTTTAGTGCTATCTGAGCCCATGGATTAATCACATGGTAGCTGTGCATTACAATTGTATTGATCTAGTATTAAAAGGTGGCCACCAAGTGGACAGAGAGTGGAACTATTGGATACAGAGTGCATGTCATTTTTCTCAAATTTTCTTAAATTTTAAATCAGAATAAATATTAGTTTTGTCATTCACATTGACAGCCTTGGTTATAAGTGAAGATGATCAGAATGCGTATTTTACTGCTGTTGTCTGAATGTCATTTACAATCAAATAGAAATTTAAAGGTGTTTCGACATGTCATTCAAGTTCAGTGCCAAATCATTTATACTGAACTGAGTGTTTTTCTTTATTTCTAAAAAATTCCCGCACAGTCACATTGTCTTGAGTTGTTGCACGAAGTGTCAGTCTGGTGAAAGTGAGCCAAGTTTTCACCTGGTGTGTCCTTAACCATTGTACGAAGCTGCTGTTTTTTTAATGCACTGTCACATTGGCTGAGACTCTGCCTCCTTTCTTGTCGTGCTTTCAGGTGTTTCACGGTGCTGACTCTGACATGGAGTGGCTCCAGAGAGACTTTGGCTTGTATGTGGTCAAACTTTTTGACACACATCAGGCCAGCAGAGCTTTAAACCTAGCCAGGCATTCTCTGGACCACCTGCTCAAACACTTCTGCAGCGTGGACTCAGACAAGCGCTTCCAGCTGGCTGACTGGAGGATACGGTATGGAGACAAGTCCAGCGAATACATTGTTAATGTTTCCATATAGAAAACATCTCATGTCTTGGCCTGACTTGGAAATCTAGGCCACTGCCAGAGGAAATGATCCAGTATGCACGCAGTGACACTCATTACCTCCTCTACATCTACGACTGCATGAGGGCACAGCTCCTGGACTTTAACTATGGGCAGCCTGGACTGCTGCAGAGCGTCTGGAACAGGAGCAGAGACATTTCCCTGAAGGTGACCACGAGCAACAGTCCATACACCATCAGATTATATTCATTTAAATGCCATATGAAGCACTTGCTTTTTAAACTCTTTTGGTTCTTCTGCTTTACCGTACTGTATCTGCCCCCTATCCACTCAGAAATATATGAAGCCCATATTCACAGACGAGTCCTATCTGGAGCTGCAGAGGAAGCAGAAGAAGTCTTTCAACACCCAGCAGCTCACTGCCTTCAGGCTGCTCTTTGCCTGGAGGGACAAGCTGGCCAGACAGGAGGATGAAAGCACAGGGTAGGCTGTTAGAAATGGATAGACCCGCTGTGAAGTCTGCACGGGATGATTTTTCTATTTTTACTTTGTACAACATTCATTATTCATATGCAGTTCATTTTATTTTCATGTCGGTTTTCTTTTTTTTAACCAGTTTTACTCATGTTTAGATACGTTCTGCCCACGCACATGATGATCAAGATATCAGAGGAGCTGCCCAAGTAAGAGAACGTCAACGCAAAACATGTTTGTCGGGAAAATCATTTCACTTTGGTGTAGATTACTCTAAGGTTCTCCTCCAGGACATAAAGCACTGTATGTCATGTTTTATCTCCATTCACTCAGGGAGCCTCAGGGCATCATTGCCTGCTGTAACCCCGTGCCCCCAGTGGTGAGGCAGCAGATCAATGAACTCCATTTGTTGGTGCAGCAAGCAAGAGAAGTTCCTCTCCTAAAGGTGAGGAAATAAATAATGGAAAAGAGTGTTCAAATGTGTTTTAATATTTAGCTCTTTTGTGCTGTTTTCCTTTATAAAAAAAATGACCCATCTGTCTGTTTCTGTCACCTGTCTTATGAGTTGATAGTAGATATTTATATTGACCGGGATACACACACACATGCACACACAGATGTAGAGAAGACTAAATCAACCTATAATGATTCCTCCAGCTGTGCTCTGGTAACAATGATATGGTCGATGTATGTATTAACCCTGCAACGTCTTCTTGATTTGGCACAGGCTGAACTGGCAGCACAAAAACAGAAGGGACTCACACCTATTAAAAAGGTCAGATGAAATGTCTTTGTTCTTCTGTTGAGTTGAAATGTTTCACATCAATCAAAGTAAATGCGACGTACATGTGTGTGTCCATACATTTACAGCCTGAGGTCACGTTGTTCGGTCCTCATGACACATCTAGGGTCTCTGAGAGTGACCTCCCACCTTTTACTCCACAAGGTCAGCGTCATATCTGTGGAAATGTCCATCCTTTTTATGGATCAGAATATTTAATCTCAGGCTGATGTGTTTCCCATTAGAACTGCCTTTGAAACAAGGAGTGCTGTTCTCAGAAGATGAAGACAGGAAGGATTCAGATGAGAAGATCAGTGGACTGGTGGCCCATGCCAAAATCACACTTTTTGAGGTATAAAAAAAAAACATTATCTTGTGTGTGTGTGTGCCTGTGTGTGTGTGTAATTTAAAGTGAGAAATCTGCTTACTTTCAAAAGGAGCTGGAAACAAAGACTGACGAAGAGTCTCTTCCTGTTGCTCACATGAAAGCCAGACGCATCAATGAGTCTTTTGAAAACCCTTTCAGAATGGTAAGATGTAACCAGTAGGTGTTAATTGTTTTTGTTTATTTATCAGCTGACTTGATCTGTCGTTTGGTCTTCTTCCTTGCTCAGTATTTGCCTACCACTGATGTGCACATCAACAAGAACGCCAAGTTTGACCCATCCTCAAAAATATTCGAGGTGATTGTAAGAAAAAGAAAATTTATCTAGAAACAGTCCTATCTGTGTGCCTGATGTTTGATACCCTGTCCCATTAACAGATCAGTAAACGATGGAAGCTGCAGAGCATTGAACAGCAGCAGGCGGAGCTGGAGGCCAAGAGAAAAGCCAAAACAGCAGCGAAGCAACAGGCAAAGAAAGCCACAGGTAAAAATAAACAAAAAAAGAAAACAGTCATACAAACGCTGAAATTAGGGTATTTTTCTCACTGTATCTTTACGACTGACTGTTGCAGAGGAATCAAACAAGGCTAAACAGAGCTACCAGGAGTCTCTCCAGAATGTTGCCACTGTGCGCCAACTTGCTGCGGTGAGTCGTTACTGCGCTGTGATTTTTTCCACTTTATTTCCAAAATGTAAAAAATGTTGATTTTACTCTTGTTGTTACTGTCACTTTGTTTAACAAAATCATTGGAACATTTTATACCTCTGTGATAAGATTATATTTAGAGTGAGATGAGACAGTGTCTATGTATATGATATATATCTCATATACAGTATGTATATAAATATATATATGAGAAGAGAGGGTCTAGGATAGTATAGATATGATGGAATAGAGGATGATATAAGAAAGCATAGAATGGGATGAGTTGGGTTGAAATAAATATATTTTAAAACAATATATATCTATATTTAAATATTCATTTATATATATATTTAAATAGATATAGTTTTATTTCAAACGCACCGTTTGTAAATTTAAAAAATATAAGCTGGATCTTTATTTTCATGAATTACTGCAGCAAAGTATCATGATTGAACATTACACTTGAATATGTTATGTGATATAATATAATGTTGCTAGTGATTATTTTTTCTCAGGATTCAAAAGGCGGAGGAAAGAAAAGAGAGAGGGAACAGAGTGAGACTGGAGAGTCGACTCCCAAACCAAGTAAAAAACTGATGAAGTCCAGTGAGAAGCCCCAGAAAGACAAGCCATCTCCTCAAGAGTCCTTCACACCCTTTGACTACAGTCAGTCAGACCTAAAGGTTTTTACAGGTGAATACATCATTTCATGGAGATTCTGAGTTCATTGTTGCTGCATAGTTACAGATGCATTTGTAGAGTTCATTCAAGTCGTGTTATGTTCACAGAGGTCAAAACAAAAGACAACACACATTTCGACCCGAATCGCCAAGCCCACAGCACAAAGAGACAGGTATTTATAAAAACACAACTCATAAGTGTATTGATCAGTAAAATGTATATTGTTGATCATATTTATGTTTTGTTGAAAAGAAAACACCCAAAGGACAAAAATCTAACTTTGGTGCGGCAACCCGAAGTATGTCATACCTTACTGGAAAATCTGACAGGTAAACGTGTCCTTTTTTTTAATAGTTCATTGATTCCGTGTCCTTTTTTTTAATAGTTCATTGAGCTTTTATCTTGACAAACTTTAACATTCTCGGTATCCTAACTTTTTTTTCCTTCCCACAGAGGATTCCGTCATAATTGGCCAAAAAGATAGACAATTGTTGATGTCTTTCTTTTTGAACTGTATAAAATTTTTCACAATTGAAAAAAAAAAAAACGGGATTTGCCGTTCTTTTTATGCAAATTCAGTTCAGTGTTCAAGTTATTAAACAAATTTGGGTTTTTTTTATCCCAGCTTTGAAAAATGTATACAATATGTGTATGAAAAGGAACGTCTTTATTAAAGATGATTTTTAGAGGGAAGTGTTTGTGTCAAGCAATTACTTTGTGGTCATTTGTTTGAAATCCATTACACATTTGTCAATAGTGTGGGGTATTTAATCACACTGAAAGATTTATAATGACAGCATCATAGGTTCTATCTGCCAATCGCAAGATGGCGACGGCTTGACGTATTCTGGGCTGCCGTACGGCGTCGAACGCCACTTGAATCACGACACAGTCCTGTCCCAAAAAAAACAAGACCCGGGCGGTGTCCCAAATACAAAACGACACAACAGATTCAGATTAACCGACGTCACTCAATGGGTACCGCCCTTGTGAAGCCGTCAACCGTTATTTGGTGTCGCAACACTTTCACGTTGTAGCACAGACAGACACGTTGGGTGTACTTGTGGCTGTTGGCAGCTGATATGGACTTCATTAAGGATGGATGGTTCACTGAATTCTGCACTTTATGGCCGGGGCAAGCCATGAGCCTACAAGTAGAAGAAATCCTCTACCACAAGAAGTCAAAGTATCAAGATGTTATGGTTTTCAAAAGGTAATGTACTTTGGACAGCAACATAACGCTAAGGTTGTTAGCCATTAGCAGTTTAGGAGCATGGAGCTCGGGGAGAAGTGTCTCTTGGGTTTGTAACCTTATGTTAGTTATTTCATTGACTTTGTTCTGTGCACTACGTCACCAATGACACTGTATTCTGTTGTGGGTGGTGTTTTTGTGATGTAGGTAGGGAAGTTGAAAATTACAGTACATTATGACCGAGAGTGGTCTAAGTAATCACTGATTATCTCAAACCCATAGTCCAGATAGTACAGAATCTCTGTTGGTCAATGTAATAGAAGTTTGTTGACACTTCAGTTTGTATGGACACAGAGTTATTAATTTGTTACGACAATTTTACTGGTGTTCACCTATTCATGTTGATCATATAGTGCGGTTTTGATTTTGGGTTTAATTAAAACCCTTCAAATAAACCAAAATCAACGCAGTAATAAAGGAGCTATTTCCTACTTAATACTTGTGCTTTTTTAGGCATTTTTTACACACTTAACAAATTCAAATGATCACACCCTGCATCACCCAAAAAAAATCTATTTTTAATGTTACCCATCAACCCTTCTGCTTTGCTTTGTAAGTCAGACATGAAGTGTAGACACCTTGTGTTAAAATATAGTAGATCCAAAATAAACAAGCCATTGTTCATTAAGAAGTTGAACACACAGTTTACTGAAATGTAAACATTGTGCTCAGGTTCCAAACTAGTTGGTTTGGAACTGAATTTTAATACTTTTCTAATCCTCTTAAAAGCAGTTCCCATAAAATGTTCTTCTGTGACAATTTTTGTTTTAGTAAAACCTATGGAAATGTACTGATACTCGATGGAGTGATCCAGTGCACAGAGAGAGATGAGTTTGCTTATCAAGAGATGATCGCCAACCTTCCACTTTGCAGCCATCCTTGTCCTAAAAAGGTATGAATCGGATTTGTCCCAGAAAAAAATGATTTTAATATCCTTTGTGGTACAAGTTGAAACTGACTTTTTTTTTTTTTTTTTTTTTAGGTTCTGATTATTGGTGGTGGAGATGGTGGTGTGCTAAGAGAAGTGGTGAAGAATCCGCTGGTGGAGTCAGTGGTTCAGTGTGAGATAGATGAGGTAGGAATAGATGCAAAGAGTTTGTTGTAATATACAACAACATAAACAGGTTTTCTTGTGCACTGAACTTTTTTTTCTTCAGTTATTTGTATCGTTTTGTATTCAAATTTTTGGTTGTGTTCACCCTAGTATTTACAGTCGATTCTTCATTGAAAAGCCTGCTCTCATCAGTGTTGTTGTTGTTGTCTTATGTGTAGGATGTGATTAATGTATCAAAGAAGTTCCTCCCAGGGATGGCCCAGGGTTTCTTCAGTCCAAAGCTGACCCTTCATGTTGGAGATGGCTTCGAATTTATGAAGCAGAACCAGGACGCATTTGACGTCATTATTACAGATTCCTCAGATCCAGTTGGTGAGAGCCACTGCAATACTGTTGTCACATCTCACTTTGTGGGCTGTTCTACAGACACTTTTTACCATCACCTTGTGTTGTGTTCCAGGACCAGCTGAGAGTTTGTTTAAGGAGTCTTATTATCAGTTAATGAAGGCAGCCTTGCGGGCGGGTGGAATTCTTTGTTCCCAGGGTAAGACTGTGTTTGAGTCTGGTGAAACTTAACAAACCTGTTCAGCCTCAAATCAAGTTGACATGTTTATTTTGCTTCGGTCTTTTTGCCAGGAGAGTGTCAGTGGCTGCATTTGGAGCTAATAAAGGAAATGCAGACTTTCTGCAAGACGTTGTTTCCAGTGGTGGACTACGCCTACAGCACCGTCCCTACATATCCTAGTGGTCAAATTGGATACATGCTCTGCAGTAAAAATTCTGTATGTCCGTGTTTCTGTTGCTCTATTCACCATCCACAATCGTCATCTCTCCACCCACTGGCTTTGAAATGGCTGACAGGCTGCTTTCTTATGTTTTATTAGGAAACAAACTTCAGGGAACCAGTACAAAACTTTACAAATGAAGAAATTGCAAATATGAACCTGAAATACTACAACCCCGAAATTCATAAAGCAGCATTTATCCTTCCAGAGTTTGCAAGAAAGGTACGATGTTTACAAACAACTTTTTTATATTTATGCTGTGTGTATGTGTGTATATGTATGTATTTACATGTGTCAGTGGCTTTTAATTGATGCCTTTCGACTGTGTGCAGGTGCTTCGTGAAGCATGACCAGTGACAGGATGACCAGGTCCATCCTCAGCCTGACCCTCAGACCACAGATGGTCCAGCCCTCTTCTACAGCTCGCTCGCTCCCTGAACACGGTTCATCTCTGCAGCAGCAGCCACCTAAACACTCAGTTTGGTGGCTCCTGAAAACCAGTGTCTGCCACTCGCAGATATACAGTATAACATACAGAGGATGTCGAATGAAACATATCAGCATGTTTTTATGGTTTACAGGTCACATGTACAGAATTCTTTCAGAAAACGTTTTTGTTTTTCTCCACCATCTTAACTTTTACCAAGAGTCTTTACCTTGACTGTGCCAGTAGGAGAAACATTGCCGTCAAACCTGACCACACTCTGGAAATATTTTGTTAGCGGTCATTGTACATATCTGGTCGACGTGCAGTGTCACATGTTAGTACAGTATGTGCACACACTGCTTTTTATGTTAGTCATAGGAAATTATAGTATCCTTGTATTTTTTGAATATTGCTGTTTCCAGAATGGTTACATTATAAATCCTTTTTTAAACTATTGTAAGTGCTACAATTTCAAAAAGGAAAAATGACAACGTTAATTTATCAACGCAGCAAAATCACATGGCTTCATTTCATTGTTTTACCTGAGTTAAAATGGAGATATTAAAAGTCTAATTTGATTAAATGTCTCCCATCTTTACTTTACTCAATGACAAAGGACATATTGGTTCATATCCATGAATATCTAACATGATGTTGTATCAGATTGGACCACAGAGTACTGGATGAGATCCCAGGAAGGTCATTAAGATGTTTTTAAAAGTTCCAGGTTAAATAAGAGGTCTGTTGATTTGTGATGATTTAAATCCCCTAGTGTTTACTGTGGTGGTCTACTCTAATCACACATGTGAATTTATGAGTTGGAGTTGTGGACGTAGTGATGGTAGGGCCATTTATTATGGTTGGTCAGGCCACGGATCACATTACGTCATGTTCAAAATATAGTTCTTTTTATTCAAAACAACAAAAATGCATGCAATAATATAACAAAATGTCATTTCCATTATGACAAATTTAAATAAACACTCAAAACAAAAAATCCTTCCAAAGACAGATAACAGTCTCTTATGTATTTTTATTTCCATTCTTGTTGACCAAGAATTGTTACAGCTTAACTTGTTAGAAAAGAATAAAAATGAAAAGAGTAGGACTTTATTGTGATTCTGACTATACCAAACGGAAGTCCGTTGCAATTGGGAAACTTACTAGTTCCACATTATTTCGACATTTATCTGGCTTTACTCTCGGTGACTTTTCTGTTCTATACTCTCATTAATTTCGTACTAATTCAAAATTACAGAATTTTACAACAAAAGTCCCCCCTTACCTTTTCTACACATGGACCATTCCCACAGGAAGTTGCCGATAAACTTAATTGATACGGCTGGGAAAAATTTGCACTTCCTGCATCCAAAACAGAGATCAGTCATGTGGGTTCCTCAAGAGAAAGGTGAGAAAACAGAACACAACTACATATAAACAAACAAATAAACAAAAACTCAATAGAAAGTTTAAACCCAAACGTTACCATTAGTTTAAACCCCAATTCACACACCGGAGATCTTGTGACGCAGTATTTGGCCCACATTGAGAGTGGGAATGTTGCTGTACAAAGCAATCCATTTTAGTGCATTTCTTGCATATCGACACTAGATGGCAGCAGTTAATCTCTCAATGAATTAGTAAACGTGGCCAGTTGTAGAAGAACTGTTGGGTGCAGAAATCACTTTTTAAACACTTTAAAAAGTATTTCCACAACCCCCTCTTTGATTTTTATTTGGGGCGACGCGTAAGTGTTGTTGGGATAGTTCCGCTGTCATTAACAGGTGGAACCAGCTCTGTTCTGACTGACGTCACTCTGATGTCGTATGTGTTGGCGTCTGATTGTCCATATACCCTGTTTTAAAGCCATCTCAACAGTTGGCCAATTGTTAGCTGGTGTGAATTCGATGGTGCGATCCCGTTGTTAACTGTAAGCACCACAAATCCGTCGAAACATAACTAAAATGGTTCTTAATTATGTGGACCAAACAACTGGTTCGTTTTTTAATTTGATTAAAATATTTTGTATTCTGAAAGCAGTTTTGATTCTAACAACCCTGAAAACAAATGATGTATGATACAAAATGAGCTGCTATCAACCCCCACTGTTTTTTAATAGATTTTTAATTAGAGTTGGAGTAAAGTTTAGAAATTACATTTAGTGTTAAAAAAGAAGAGCAAAGCTATTTAGAAAAACAAGAAAAAGTCTCACATTAGCTGCAACAGTAGGCACTGAATAACCTTCATCAACATTTGGACATGACTGAGGGCAAACATTATGGGGTGTTAGTGAATGTTTAGTTGTAATGTGTGTGTTAACTGCTAAATCCAAACAGTTAAATGTGAGTTAATTTTACACCAGCACCTGTTAACAATAAACAGTCCTCTAATCACAGGGTTGGTGTTTGGGTTTAATCCAAAAAGCAGATATAAATCTGTTTAATTCATTTAACTTAATGTGTCTTGTCAGAGTTGACCAAAATTAAATATCTGTCTGCTGAAGTCAATCATTTCTACAACATTTAGTGATGCTGTCTTTGCGTTTGACCATAAATCAAGGTGCTTATCAGACTCAACAACAAATGTCAAAAATGTTCATAAGTGAAATGACTGTCTATAGTCTGGTGCTGACAAGAACGACGATCATAGGCGAAATGGACTGGTGATGTCTTCATGATTTGGATGTGGCCATTTTGTGTCGTATACTGTGGTAGGACGAGAGTGTTTTTGCGTTTATGTGACACTGTTGATGAGTTGTGGAATGTATGTCCCACAATCTTTAGAAGAGGTCTGGTCAGGTTGTCTATCATAACTGCCAATCACTTCACTACATATAGATGTCAGAGCCTGGTTTCAGCCCGGTGACGTCTGCTGCAGATGTTTTGAATCATGCGAACACCTTCATCTCTCCTCCTCCTCCTCCTCCTCTTGTACGCTCATTTACACCCAACCCTCCAAAATACACATACACCGACACTCTCCACCCTTCCATCATACACCCACCACCATCTACGTCAGGAGACCGGGGGAGAGGCATATAAAAGAGTGAGGGACTTTGGAGGAAGAAGAGAAGAAACAACCTGTGACCCAGTGCCATCTTCTCCACTGCACTTTCTCCACCGCCCTCCTCTGGATCTCTGACCGGTGTGAGCTGCACAGACCTTTGCTCCTTCCTCTTCTGACTCTCCTCCTGGTCCCTGTGACTCCTGCTCTGGTTGGTCACCTGCTCTCCTGCCACAGCATGCAGCTCCTGGTGATGTTAGCAGCTCTCATGGGGGTTGTGTTCAGTGTTCGAGCAGCGGCTCTGCTCCCTGTGGACGACAGGAGCCCCATGCATGTGAGCAGGGTAAGAAAATTCCAATTGTTCACTAAGAAAATTCATCTTTTTAGTTTTTGTTTGCTATAGTTTTGTGGACTTTTTTAAATCTAAGATTTCCTCCATAATTAAAGTTTTGTTTTGTGTGTTTTTTGTGCATTTTTGTGAGTTTAATTTTGCAGACCTATCTTTTAAAAAAGAAGAAGGAAAAACAACTAGTTTTCTTTTTAATAAACTTCCACCTCTTTAACAGGAGCTGAGCAAAGAACGCAAGGAACTGATCCTGAAGCTGGTGTCCGGGTTGCTGGACGGATCTCTGGAGACCAACATGCTGCCCGAAGAAGCAGTGTCTGTGGATCTGGAGGAGCCGCTGGAGCCTCGTCTGGAGGAGAGGGCAGTCTACAACAGGTTATCACTGCCTCAGCGTGACCGCAAAGCCCCCTGTAAGAACTTCTTCTGGAAAACTTTCACCTCCTGCTAACAGCGTCCACCTCCCGTCCACTTCAACTCTGTCCACTTGATGTGCTCCTTCTCTCTTTGCACCATATGAACTGTAGTTGGCCTCGACTTTACAAATTATCTGCGTCGAGACATGCGGCATTTGATGGACTTCACCGAGACAGTGTGTCTGTGTGAACATTATTTATCTGTTTATGTACAAAAATGTATGTATTTAAGTATGTAACATTTTATTTAAGGCTCCAAAATAAAGCATGGATATAATGATTGGGATGGTAGTAACTGTTAATGGCGTTATCCAAGATTTCATGCGAGAGTTACAGCTGCTTTTAATAAAAAAAAATATTATTTTTGCACCAATCACTGCACTAAAAATGTCAAACTGCTATATTGTTTGCTGATATTACACAAAAAGTAATGATAGCAAAACCTGTTGTAAAGGAGATGGCTTTATTTTTCTTATTTATAGCACCGTTCTTTAGGGCTAGCATCGCATATAGTTCAATTTATGTATTAATATTCTGTCTTGTATTTGTTTCAAATAAAGAAATGCGAGACAAAAACGAGGTTTGCCTTAGATTGTATTTAGCAGTGCATTCATTTAAAACAAAAAATAAAATTATAGTTAGAATGCTAGTAGTATATTTTAATATTTCAAAAATTAATATAAGTATATTAAACCTCAGCAGACAGTGGCAGTCTGTAGTGTTAAATGATTGCAGCTGTGTGTTTTATTAGTTTCCAGACTCCGGTCCTTATTAATTCCTGGTCACAGACGGAGGGAGTTTCTTCAGTGACTTATTACAGGTTGTTAAATCTGTCGATGACAAAAAGATAAAGTAGAGGCTTCTGTCTTCACAGGATGCTGATCTCCGCAGTGCAGGTGGACGATAAATGTAAAAACACTTTTATAATGACAGGTATGAAGACAAATGTGTGTCAAAAGAATACATACGGCGTTCGTGTGGAGATAATGAAGCGTTCCCAATGTGACCCAATCAACCCAGTTTCTGATTCTCGTAGCAAACAAGAGCCTGCAGTGGCTTCTGGGTAATTCTGTTGTCAATCAGTCACATTGCAATTACCACATGATCTCGTTGCCTTCCCTCCATGTGTGACGATGTGACATTAGTTATTTTAAATCGCTTACTGATGCAGAATGTGGACGAGGTGGGGGAAGGCGGGGGACGTGGGGGAGTCAAATATTCACTCCCACTCCACAGTCACTAACAGATTGATTTTCATATTATAAATTACCAACAGGGAAGATTTTTAACCTTTTAACATTTAAATTATTTATTTTTAATGTTTGGTGATGATAAATGAACAGCAGCTGTTGATGAAGATCCATGAGAGCTGTAGTTATCATTTAACCAGGATTTATTCTGCTATGAGTGAACGCAGCTCATCAGTATGAAACAAACTCTTACAAGTATAATTTCATCCTCTATACAAGCTCAAAATATCATTACAAGAGCAACGCACCACAAGCCAGAGTGGTTAAGAAAGTGGACTTGGGTCCGAAAGGTTTCAGGTTCGAGTCCACCAGCTGCCAAGTTACCACTGAGGTGCTCTGAGCATGGCACCGTCCACACACACTGCTCCCCGGGCGTTTAAGCTGTCCCCTGTTCACTTTGGTGATGGGTTAAAAACTGAGGTCACATTTGGTTGTGTGTAGTAGTGTGTTGTAGTAGTTCACTTTCCCTTTCTTTCCTTTTCCCCACAATCTTCAAAAATAATCTCCAAATCACAGGCTGTTAGAGATGAAAAATAAGTTCACCATATGTTGGATTTCTCGTACTGCAGTACATTTATGCAACTGTTTTGGTTTTTTTTTTACATACAGCAAAACCTGGCAGTTTTGTTCCTCGTAAGATGCTCTATGAGGGACACATGAAGAAGAAATTCCAATTCCTACCACTGCAGGAGGAGGACACGAACTGTGACCTTTAAGCAGACAGCCTTAGGAAGGAACAGGACAGAACAAGAGTTGGATGTGTTGGTGAGTTTGTTTTGGGTAAGTCATGAGTTAATATTCAGGTTTGATTAATACAATAGTGTATTGTAAGCTTGTTGTTCTGCACTAGTAATGATATTTTGAGCAGCAGAATAAAAGCTCACAAATACAGTTTAGTTAATATTTTTAAGAGGTTGCTATGTAACAACATTGCTGTGTGTTCAAACAACTGTAGTTGATTTAAAGAATGTTTTCATCTCGTTTGTTTTATTTACTTCTCAGATTTATAAAATGCACCGCCTGCAAATTCTACAATAAGCAGCAACAACAAATGAACTACCAGAGTAGATAAACGACCCAATCAATGAGGTAGAACCCTAAGACAGTTCATCGCTTGAATTGAATGAACAGCAGGTGATGATAAATGTGCTTATTTCATAGATGCCAAAAGTTAACAGCACACATGTGATCGCAGATTAAAGATAAGAGTATTAAAGACCAAAATAATTCTTTTTCTGTTGAGTCTGTTCAAGACAGTGGAGGAGAACAGGTTTTCAGTGATGGATAATAGATTTAAATGAAAAAGACAATGTTAAATCTCCTGGGAAAACACAACTTGATGAGTTTCACAAATGTATTTCCTCTGTAATTACGTGGCTTTCTGTAGTGTTGATTTAGAATGAAACGGTCTTCTGTGGTTTCACTAATCATTCTTCCTCTGGCTACATGGTGAAATAATAAGAATCTTATTGAAATATGATGCGTTCAGGTTTTGTAACCTTGAACAACCTGATTGCTTTGCGCTCCTATTAAAGAATAAAAAGTCAAAAACACATGCTCTGGTCCCACACTGCATTTGGTGCCAATCAGTATGTCATGCTGTTCTGTTAACACAGAGGATTCAGGGTCAGTAGACACTGTCCACTCTGACTTCAGGCCCCTGCAAATGAGCGGGAAAGACGAGCAACATCAAAGCTAATGCCTGGAAGCAGAGCATTTTATTAACTTTTCTTTTGATCTGAAGGAGGAAGGAAAGAAGGCGCTCAGCCCCTGACTGTGAAATTCAAATTTAAATGTGACTTTTGTTGGTGTGTGTCATACAGGCATAACAATCATCTTCAAAGTAAGTCAAAAACTTTATAGCAGGTGAATGTTTTCAGAGGTGCACGGATGTTGAGTGGTTCGTGTTTCCAGTTGGTAACTGATGGCATTTCTGAACTGGCATGTTCTCCTTGTGTGTGTGTGTGTGTGTGTGTATGTGTGTGTGTGTGTGTGTGTGTTTTCCAGCATAAAATCATTCAGGACTGTTTGGGTGTTCATGCAGTAGTTGTTACCTTAAACCTGTCCTTTACTGCGTAGTAATATTCTGTGGATATATTTCGGCGTCTGTTTATCTGGGATGGATCATCACCGGTTCTTTTGGAGTAATTTAAAAAACAAATAAAGGCACAAAAATGAAGAACAAACTACAACAAACCGTATTCTGAGCCCCCAAAGTATTATAAAACATGTAGTTAAAAAAAGAGTACACGACCCAGGGGTTGTGTTTCCTCTGTCACGACGTCTGTGTCAGTGTGAAATTAACGTCTGACAACGTCAGCTCCTGCGTGTGCTGTGTCATCCCCGCTGACTGTCCCTGTCTTTGTTTCACAGATGCCACACTTCGTTTTCATCCTGCACTAGTGAAAATGTACAACTGGTCAACATCAAACGGTCGCCCCTAACTTTTCCTTGATCAGAGAAGACAGGGCGAATTAACACTCAGGGCTGAGCTGCGGCTTCTCAGAGAGGTGTTAATAGGCAGGTTGTGTTGTGGTTCCCCGCTGAAGGAACAAAGGCTGTGAATGAGAATATACATGCCTGACATTTCAAAAATATTTCTTGTTCACTCCTTTTTTGTGTAGTGTAGCATGGGGTTGAGACTTATTTCTTGCTGCCTTGTTCTGTTTCTTAAGCCGTGACTTGGGAGCCGTACAGTGGCACATAGAGCACTTGTCTTTAGAGCAAGAAGGTCACTGGTGTGTGTGTGTGTGTGTGTGTTTTCTCCAGGTGCTGCCGTTTCATCCTTTAGCCAAATAAATCATGCTCGTCAGGAAATGAGGTTGATCGAAGGTGGTGAATGTGAGTGTTAATGGTTGTCGTGTCTGTATATGGCCCTCAGATGGACAAGTAGTCAGAGTAATGATGGATCAAAACACACACGGGCACCATTATTTATTTGATTAATCAGCGGATGTAAATGTTTTGCCCCACAATCCCAGATGAATTCTAAATACATTTATTTCCACTTAATTATTCGGACCACCGTGGACCCTGTGCCTGCAGCAGCTTATCTGTCTCTGTCAGCCTCTGTTACCTGTTGGTGACATTTCAGACCAAAGCTCGGAATAAACAACCTTCCAGGACAAAAATAAATAAAAAAAGCAGGTTAAAGGATTGGGTTGCCAGGTTGAATTTGGCCCTTTCAGGACTGTGGTCAGTCGAACAGGCACCAAAGCACCCCTGTTCCCTGGTTGCCCGTCTACAGTGTTAATCACTGCAGTGGTTCATGGATGTGTTTCACACAGACAGTAACTTCTTCGTGGGAGTTAATAGAACTTGCCAAAGCGTTTGAAGTAAAATAAAGTATACTTCCTGTGCTAACTAGTTGGGGAGTTTTAACGCTGTACGTTGGAATGATGGAATAAGGCTTTCTTTACAAATTTATATAAGATGGTGATATAACGAAGCGCCGTAGGACGAGGACATCGCTAACTGAGGACTTGACCTGTATTATTGTCGGTGGCTGGCGGCCATGGCTATGACTTCCCCCTGGCATTGCAATAATATAATAGTGTTGGTGTCAGTTGATGGTAACACCCTTTTTAGAAGCTGCCATTGAGTTAATATCATAACAAGAAACGCTATGTATAAGACCAGACCACTTTCAATTTTGACATCCAACTGTTTTAGATTTTATGGTTTTAAAAAAGCAGCATCATTATAAAGATGGCGTCCTCAACAGAAAACTGGGGAATTGACAGAGCCAAGCATTTTACTACACACACAACCCAGCCTCGGAATGGCCTCTGATGGACTTCTCCCAAAGAGGTCTCCTATTTTGGAGCACAGTCAGGATTAGAAAATTACCCCACACGCCGCCCCCTGGTGCTACAATGATGCCTAATGATGCCTAATGATGCCTAATGGCTTATTCAGCTTATCTGTGGCTGCACTAAGAGCGGATCGTTATAGGGGACCCAGTGCTGAAGTGGTGGCACAGAAAATGAGCTGTCACCAGCCAGAGAACGGGAATCAACCCTTTCAACCTGGTC